CTCCAGTACCGTTAAAAGCAAACAATTAATAAACCCATTAAAGTGCACTAAAACTAGGCATATGCAATGGGAGATACACAAATAAATATACATACACTGCACTCCTTTTACAGAGACCACAAGCAGACCTTCAAAACATCTCAGCGCAATTTATATACCCAGCTAGGCGACACCAACGTAACTCAAAGAAAATCAGAGACAACGAAAAATGGAAAATAATGTTTAGAATAACAGAGAAAATTTCATGCAAGTCTAATGGAGCTCTGCCACATTCCCATGCAGTTCCATTACTGCCGGTATCACCTTGTTTATTTTCATTGTCATCATCTTCATATAATTTTATGACCTCACAGAAAACAAGTACAAGAAACATGTTTGGGGGGTAACACAAAACAAAGTGTTGACATTGTTCTATGGTTGGATTCCACCAAAGCCTTCTGCTAGAGAGGTGTGCATGTTCCTGTAACTGAAGCAGAAGCTAGGTCTGTAGTAACCACTTGCCAATTCTTCAACCATTCGAGTCTGGGTAAGACTAGACTAGAGAAAAATTCAAAAGTTAGGAGGCCGCTGTCATTTGTAAGGAGCACACGGAGCTCCTGGGATTTGTACATCTCTGTTTTAATGTATGATTTTGTTTTTATAAATAAAGGGATGCACCGATACCATTTTTGCAAGTACAAGTACTGATAAATAAACAATTTTCTTTTTTGTTGTATATTATTTTAATTCTTTTAATGGGTTTACCTGTTTATCTTTCTAAATGCAATCGATCAGACCCCACCATTGTTTTGCAAAGTTTCTACTTTCTAATCACCCCAACATGGCAGGTGACAGAATCTTTTAGTGCTACTACTAAGGTGGGGTATTTAAAACAGGAGAGAAAAAGTAACATAATACTGTGACACTGGAAGTGGGTAGGGTCAATTTTCAATTTAAAATAAGCATCCATGTTAAGAACTCTGCAAATAATGTTGTTTTTTAGGTTATAAAAAGAGAGAATAGGCAAGTAAGTATAATAGAAACAACTTAATTGTTGTCTAGGTGAGGGATCTTTTTAAAGATAATTTAGAGCACTATGGTATTGTAATTTAATTTTCAAATTACGTCTTTGGAGCTTGTTTCTGTGCATTTAATATTTGAATAGAAATGTGTCACCTATTTGTTTGTTTTTTTGCCAATATTCTGTACAGTTGATATTTTAATAGAAAGGTGTCAACTATTCTTTTTCTTTTCCTTTTCACATATTCTGTACATTTTATTATTTAAATAGGAAAGTGTCAACTCTTTTTCTTTTCCAATATTCTGCACATTTATTTTTTAATAGAAAGGCATCAACTATTTATTTATTTTCCTTTTCTAGTATTCTGTATATTTGATAATTTTATAGAAAGGTGTCAACTATTTTTTCTTTTTCTTTTCCAATAATCTGGAAAGCAATCTGTCCTGTTTATTATCAAATCCATAATTTAAAGGAGAACAATGGGGTTAGGGCTTTTCCCCATAGTTCTCCTTAGGGTAACGGGAGGACACAAACTAGCGTCCCCCTGTCACCCAAAGCTCAGTATACCGCGAGCTACAGCTCGCGGTATACTGAGACGCCGCAGCTGAAGCGGATCCCGACAATTATGTCTGGATCCGCCCAGCTGCGTGAGTGACAGCTGGCTCTGCCTATCTAGAGGCAAAGCCAGCTGTACCCACCCCCTCCCCTGTCACGGCAGAGAGCCAAGACAGGATCGAGAGGTGAGCAAACGCCGGTATGTGTTCGCTCACTTCCCGATCTACTGAGCCGACCTTTGACAGTCTCATTGTCACAGGTCGGCTAGAACCATGAGGTGAGTGAAAAGCACTCACCTCATAGTTCTCCTTTTAAAGAAGGGTTTTGTAACAATGGAAGTTTAACATATTCCTAGACAAACAATTTCACTTAGATTCCACAATACACTGTAAAACGTAAAATATTTTTTAATTTTAAAAGCATATTGAAAATGTGATTTGAAATGTGACTTTTGGAGGTCATTCAAACCACTTTTGCAAACACAATAAAGAAAAAAGTCATTTTTTCTCATTATATAATTTGACTGTTATTTTAGAACTCCCTTTTTTTTATCTGTATTACTTTTCATGTTGGAAGTTCGAGTTTGAAAATTGCCCTCACATTAAGACCACAGAAAAACGGTCAGACATTGTAACATTAAGCACAACTTTTTTTTGTTTTGTTTTGTTTTTTTTACATTTTTCTTACATATCTCGAAACATAGAAAACTAGTTGATCATTTCACAACAAAGTATATGTCCAGGGAGAAAATAAAAATGATCTGTAAAAAATACTATTTTTAGACAAGTGGAGCTGCACTTTTAAAAAAAGCTGCTTTTGGCACTGCTTACAAGCAAACAGTAAGACGAGGTTAATGGGAAAGGACAATTCAACAAAGACCATTGCATCACCAGAGGTAAGGTCTTGATTGTATGTTCCTAAATTTGGCACAAAAAGACGCAATCATTCACCTACGGAACTGTGACTGTAAGGACAAGTTATGGGTTTTTTTTTCTACGAGTGCCCATACCAAATCTTACAATACATGACACTTAGCAAGAGTTGACACTCAAATCCTCCACTCCTCCAACACTACAGACACACATAAAAGGTAGCGTAAGTCTTGAGGTTTCCACACCTTACACTTTTTGAAATTTTCAGAGACACGTCTTTTTTTTATAATTTTTGTTGTTTTTGTTTTTTTACATATTTACAGGAGTTCAGCACTTTAATCAGATGCCAAGAGACATCTACCAAGGTCCAAGATTTCCTTTGCCCTTTCTATGTGAAGTCCTTCCTCTACCAGATAAGGGCAGGAGCAAAAAAAGGCCTGAAGGAAATAAAACTTTTTTCCTACTGTCTTCCCGTTTCGGAAAATGAATTCACTGTGTTTTTCTTTTTCCTCAATAGGAAAGAAGAGTTCTATATATCCCCTAAAGGTAGAGAATACTGTCTGTGGGTGGCCCCCTTAGAGATGTCTAGGACTCGGATGGCCATTGTGGTAGAGCTTCTGCTTGATGTGAACCATGTTTCCACTGGTATCGTCGTACTGCCGCGGGTGACGTTTTCCAAAATCCCTTAAGTTACAAATCTTAGGAATCCATGACCACGAATTGTCTGCAAAGAAAAGGAGAGATTGGAGCAAAATAAGTATCCATTATTTCATTAAAAAACTTAATTCAAAGGTGATGGTGTACATTAATGAGAGTGGTGCACATTAAAAGAAACAAGACCCTGAATGGGCAAAGTGGCAGTATCCTTATTTTAAGTCCATCTCGGCCTATGTATACTCCGCTTTGCCATGCTCCCCTGGTGCCCTATTGCTACTGCAGAGCCACCCAAAAAAATTGCTGCTTCCAGGTATGGGGGAGCTAATGACCTCCTCCCATTGGGTAGCCTGAGAGGCCAGTTGGCAGAATAGTTGGTGAAACATTGTCCAACATGGGGCTTACAGAGGGTTAAGACTGGGGAGGAAGAGAGTGGTGGATCGCAGTGAAGGTAAGTATAAGTGAGTCAGGGGTTGGTATTGAAGCCACTCTGTCGTTTTACTGAATAGGCAAAGTGACCGAGTCTCTTTTAAGAAAAACTCCAGTCCTATGGAAAAGCATATTTGCTCTAAAATCAGAAGTTGGGGTAAACAATACATAAACACCACATATAACCATTTCATACATTAGAATACACCACTGAATGTTTCTTCTGTGCTCACCCTTTCAGTGGACCAAGCTAACTAACACTACAGCTTATATAGAGGAAACCGGTAACGCTACCACTGAATGAGAGTAACTTAGCTTTTTTTAATGGTGAAGACCTGCTTAGGTATGGCCAAAGCAGTACCTTTTGCTTTTGCTTGTTAGGGTGACTCGTTTTAGGCAGTTACATATTGGAGACAGGGTCACTTTTAACCTTCTGCTTGCATGGAGCCCATTCACCTGCAGATGCCTGTGTGCATATTCAGCTTCTTTCCAGAGCACCCCAGAAGCTCTAAATCCAATGCTGCTCTATAGTGCAAACTCCAACCAGAGCCAGTATGGCCATTGTGCAGCCCACCCTTTTCTGCTACCTGCATTTTGCTATTGGCCATAGGTGTGCGCATAAGGTGTGCCTGGACACGCCCTAATCACCCCGAGCATAGGGTTGCCACCAGTCCAGGTTTCAGGCCAGTTGAAACCCGGACACAAGATGTCACAATGTCAAGCAGACAGGGGCAACCACGGGGTCCTGGTGTTCCAACTTCAGTGCATGGAGAAGGCAGAGGACACGGAGGGACGATGGAACTAGGGGAGTAAGGAGATGTCTGAAGCACAGGGTGCAGATAAGTTTGAAGGGAACACTCCTCTGGCTGTCTCTCCTCGCTCTATCTCCTGGGTGACTCTCCTCACTTTCTCACCTGGCTGTCTCTCCTCTGGCTATCTCCTCGCTCTCTCCCCTGGCTGTCCCTCCTTGCTCTCTCCCCTGGCTCTCTCCTCTGGCTCTCTCTCCTCGCTCTCTCCCCTGGCTCTCCTCTCTCTCTCTCTGGCTGTCCCTCCTCGCTCTCTCCCCTGGCTCTCTCTCTCCTCTGGCTATCTCTCCTCGCTCTCTCCCCTGGCTCTCTCCTCTCTCTCTCTCTGGCTGTCCCTCCTCGCTCTCTCCCCTGGCTGTCCCTCCTCGCTCTCTCCTGTCTGACTCTCCTTGCTCTCTCTCTCTCTCTCTCCTAGCTGCCTCTCCCCTCTCTCTCCTGTATATTCTCCAAAATAAAATTACCTCATGATGCTAGAGTGTTCAGGTATCGCTTGAAGAAAAGGTGGCAACTCTACCTGAGCCCCCTGGCCAGCATATATAATAACCAGCAACCAGGAAATCACAAGTCGCAGCAACGGGCTGCCTACAAGGTAGTCATACAGAAAAAAAAGCATAATCTTTTATTGAATTATTAATATTTAAAATATACTGTATATCCACACTAATAAAATACAATATGATGTCTCCCAGTGTATTAGGCCATACTCCAAGCACCACACTCTGACCCTATTATTTTTCTGCTGATGGTCATAATTAAGTCACTGATTCTGAATGTAAAACATCTGGTGAGATAAACGACCAAGGCTATTGACCAGATCCCCCAGTTACAATTCATTAATGTTGGCTATGTGCTTTTTTATACCTCTATGCTTGGAATGAATATTTGTCAATGACTTGCAAGTGTTTTTTTGTAGAGCATAACAAATATATATGTTGAGAAAAAAATGAATGCTGAGATTGCTTACGTACTTGTAAAATGCTATTTGCCTGACTCTAAGGCTGACTCGCTGGCCTCAGTAATTTCCGAGTTGTTGACCTAAAACAAGTATGTGTTTCAGGAAAGTTGTAGAAAAGTCAGAAGTTATCTGCATGCTTGTTCTGGATCAGTAACTCAGTACATTAAAGCTGGCCACTTTTAGAAAAATATTTCAGCATTGGTAGCCTCTATGTTTCTCTCGCTGTCACTGTTGTGGCCCCCAAGAATTCCTCAAAGCAGATCCCTGTAATAGAAGAGGCTTTGTTCTTTTTTTATTACAGGTGTTTATATAGCGCTGACAGTTTATGTAGAGCCTTACATGCTTCACCTTCACATCAGTCCCTGCCCTTAACGAGCTTAAAATCTAAGGTCCCTATCACACATGCACACACACTGAGGCCAATTTAACCCCTTCATGACAGGCCTTTTTTTCATATTTTGCACCCATGTTATATTCCACATTGTAGGCCTGCAAATTACTTAAAACCCCCACACATTATATATTTTCTGAATGCCAAGACCCTGTAGAATAAAATGGTGGTAGTTGCAAATTTTTATGTTGCGCAATATTAGCGCAACTCCTTATTAAACCCCAAAATTTTGTGATAAATGTAATTCAATGCCCCAAAACACAACAAAATACCAATTTCTTTAATGAAATATAAAAGATGAGGTTACAACGAGTAAAACGATACCCAACATGCCCAGTTTACAAATTGCGTGCGTCTGTGAAACTGCGCAAAACTGCAGTACACCAAAAAGTCCACAGAAGACGCTTTAAAAGCCCCCACAGGTCATCAATTTAGAGATACCCCAAAATACTGGCCCTAGAATTGTTGCTCTCACTCCGGCGTGCGCCGCGATACCCAATATGTGTAGCACGTTCGTCGTTTTCATACGTAGTCGCACCTGACGCGTGTTTACGTGGCGACGCGCGTGCTCGCGGGGGACTTTAAAACATTTTTTTATTATTATTATTAGATTTATTTTATTTGATTTTAATTTTAAAAACTGTTTTGTATTTTTTTTTTACTTTACTTTGACTGCTATCACATGGGGGGGCTTACAAGCCCCTCCCATGTGATAGCAGATGGTGGTGACAGGTACTCTTTAAGGTGATGCTGGGGGTCCAAAAGACCCCCAGTGTCACCTTTACACTGGAAATAAGCTATTGAAGTGCAGATCGCACTTCAATAGCTTATAGCTGGGCTGCAGGAGCCCAGAACTGACAGCCCAGGGACCGGAAGTGATGCAATCTGCATCGCTCCCGGTCCCATAGAACGGGGAGGGGATCGATGAACGGAAGTTCGTCGACCTCCTCCCCAGCTCCCCGCGGACACCAAGGTCCCGGGCCCATAGGAGGGGCAACGGCGGGGGGGGCCGCCCCTTCTTCGGGACACAGAAGCGATCTGGCGACAGGTAAGTCGCCAGAATCGCTTCTGTTGTAAAGCCGACAGTCGGCTCTACAAGTTTAAACAGAGTCCCGGCAGCAAAAGTCGCCGGGAGTCTGTTTAAACAGCCCCGATACTGGCGACGTACACTGTACGTCGTCAGTCACGAAGGGGTTAAACAGGAGCCAATTAACTTCCAGCATGTCTTAAAAGTGTGGGAGGAAACCCACAGAGAGAGCATGCAAACTCCTTAAAAATAGTGACCTAGCCAGGATATGAACCTGAGACCTCAGTTCTGCAAGGCAGAAGCATTAACTACTACACCACTGTGTTGCACTTATACTTCCTTTTACACTTCCCTCTTTGGTTGCCCTGATACTTCCCTCCCTGTTTGCCTTTATACTTCCCTCCCTGGTTGCCCTATACTTCCTTTTCTGGTTGCCCTTATACTTCCCTCTCTGGTTGCCCTTATACTTCCCCCTCTGGTTGCCCTTATACTTCCCTCTCTGGTTGCCCTTATACTTCCCTCTCTGGTTGCCCTTATACTTCCCTCTCTGGTTGCCCTCATACTTCCCTCTCTGGTTGCCTTTATTCTTCCTATTCTCTCTCTATGGGATCACTGCAGCCTCCATCATAATCCTTAGCATTCAACACTTCCAGGAGCGTCAGATTCCTATGTGCCCCGCTGTGTGCATTGGTTCCATCCTTTGACCCCTACATTATGGCTAAGTCTTAAAGTGACATATGGGTTTGAGAAGGGAACCACAGTGAGGGAGAAGATAGAAGGCAAGAGCCAGCGGAGACATGAGTACAATACCACTTACAGGGAACCCATTTGGAGAATTGTTGAGGGCAACAACACTGTAGCTTAAAGCTTGCACAATATCCATGACTGAACCCCTTATAGTGATGGAAGTAAATTGAAACCAAGGTCCCAGCATTTAATAACACAACCTTCACATTGACCTCTACTTTCGTTCCAAGTTTGTTTCTGAATATGACAATTTTCATTATAAGACAAAGCCTAGGATCCCGCTGTGATAATTCTTGCGCTCGCCCTTACAAGAGGAATGGTAATCGTCAGTACTTTGTGTATAATGGACTCCCTGGGTGCACAATACTGACAGAGTCAGGAGACACTTGAATACTTTGAAACATGTCCCTTCTTCCACCCCGCCTTTACCCACTCAATTCATTATCCATTGTCTTATTTCTCATTTCACACCAACCCATCAAGCTGACAGCCCCCGTTGTTTCCAAAGCTTCCTGCAGATGAAATTTGCAGAAAGCAGGGTGAGGGGACATACCACCAGTTATAGCCAGCTGGATCTGCAGCAAAATACTAATTATGGATTTTTTTTATAACTCCATGTCAGTCAAAGCAGCACTTGTCATATAGCAGCACACTGTTGGTGTAGTTGTGATTGTTAAATAACTGCTATGAGGCCAAAGTTACTCGTTTTCATTAA